AGCCCAAGTGAACACCATCCCCATCAGCAGTCTCTTCATTTCTCCTGAAACCTCTCAGTCCCTGGCAGCCACTGGTCTGGTTTCTGTCTCTATTGATTTGCCTATTCTGGACATTTCATGATTCATGGCTTCTTTCACTTAAAATAATGTCTGCAAGATTCATCTGTGTCGTAGCAGGTATCAAATCAGTACTTCATCCCTTTTTGTGGCTGAATACTGTTTTACTCTGTGTATATCACATTTTGTTATATACCATTGATAGTCATTGGGTTGTTTCTACTTTTCAGCTATTAGGACTAATGTTGCTACACACATTCATTTTTTTTTCCTGGGCGCAGTGGCTCACACCTGTAATCCCAGCACTTTGGGAGGCCCAGGTGGGCAGGTCGCCTGAGGTCAAGAGGTTGCCACCAGCTTGGCCAACATGGTGAAACAAAGTCTCTACTAAAAATACGAAAATTAGCTGGGCATGGTGGCGCGCACCTATAATCCCAGCTACTTGGGAGGCTGAGGCGGGAATCACTTGAACCTGGGAGATGGAGTCTGCAGTGAGCCAAGGTCACACCACTACACTCCAGCCTAGGGAACAAGAATGAGACTCCATCTCAAAAAAAAAGAAAAAAAGAAAGTCCACCTCTAGCTAATTTTTGTATTTTTAGTAGAGAGGGGCTTTCACCATGTTGGTCAGGCTGGTCTCAAACTCCTGACCTCAGGTGATCTGCCCACCTCGGCCTTCCAAAGTGCTGGGATTACAGGTGTGAGCCACCACACCTGGTGTTTTTTTTAGATGGAGTCTCACTCTGTTGCCCAGGCTGGAGTGCAGTGGAGCAACCTGAGCTCAGCTCACTGCAACCTTCGCCTCCTGGGCTCAAGCGATTCTCCTGCCTTAGCCTCCCAAGAAGCTGGGATTACAGGTGTGCACCACCATGCCTGTCTAATTTTTGTATTTTTAGTAGAGACAGGGTTTCACGATGTTGGCCAGGCTGGTCTCAAACGCTTGACCTCAGGTGATCTGCCCGCCTTGGCCTCCCAAAATCCTGGGATTATGGGGGTAAGACACTGTCCCTGGCCAGCCGGTCTTTTGTTACTGTAGCCCTCCCAGTGGGTGTGAAGTAGTATCTCATTGTGCTTTTGATGTGCCTCGCCCTGATGGATGATGAAATGGAACAGGTTTTCATGTGCTTACCAGCCATCTGTGTACCTTCTCTGGAGAAAGGTCCCTTCAGATCCTTTGTCCACTTTCCAGCTGGATCATTTGTCTTTTTACTGTTGCTTTGTACATGTTCTTTCTACATGCTGGATATAACATTGCCATCTGATATGTGATTTGCAGATATTTTGTGGGTTGTCTTTTCACTTTTTTTTTTTTTTTTTGAGACAGAGTTTCACTCCTGTTACCCAGCTTGGAGTGCAATGGCACGATCTCGGCTCACCACAACCTCTGCCTCCTGGGTTCAAGCAATTCTTCTGCCTTGGCCTCCCGAGTAGCTGGGACTACAGGCGCGCGCCACCACGCCCAGCTAATTTTTGTATTTTTAGTAGAGACGGGGTTTCACCATGTTGACCAGGATGGTCTCCATCTCTTGACCTCGTGATCCACCCGCCTCGGACTCCCAAATTGCTGGAATTACAGGCGTGAGCCACCACGCCCGGCCTTTTTTTTTTTTTTTTTTTTTTTTTTTTTTGTATTTTTAGTAGAG